TGTGTAAGTTGTAAGGATGAAGAAAACTAGAGTGTTATGTGAGTTTTTTAGGTAATTATGCTTTTAACTCTTTCTTGCAAGTATTCAATGCCAAGACTGAACTTCTGGTTTGTTCTTATAGGACTTCGAAATGATTTCATAATAACAACGGTTAGGGTTTCTTATTAAGCAACAGTATTAAATGGATCCCTAGAGTCTAAGTGAGTTCGAAATGATTCCATAATAACACCAGTTAAGGTCTCGTGTTAACAATAATTTTTGAATGAACTCATAGAGTCTAAGTAAGTTGGTTAAATTGATCAATTGCCGCAATAAACTCAACTAAAATATATTCTGATTATTCTAAAATAAACACTACGTTTATTTTACACCAACATTTAGAGAACTCTGAAATATGTAACAAAACATTATTTTACTTTTAAATTTAACACTCTAATTCTATTCTATAGTTATTATAGAAAAAATACCTTAAAAATATATTAAGTTAATTTAATCGGACTTAATCGGAACCTAAATATATTCTTCAGCAATTACAAAAAACTTGAACATTTGGTGCTGATAGGTGACAGTTTAACTCATGTTTTTTTAACTAGAAATACACGTGGTAACTCATTGCTTTATTCAGTAACTCGGTGAATAAAGTTAAACGATTTGATCCATCTTGTTTAGTTAAGGTAATTAAATAGACTTTTGCTCTTACCGATATGCAGTTCTTTTAAAAAACTATTACCCTTAATTAATTATTTGTTATTTATTAAATTATTACCCACGTTTACTTATTAATTTTAGTCTTTCGTTTGATTTTTAAACTATTTACAATAAATAGTAAAAATATAATAGTATTTTTGCGTGAGTGCCTCTGCTTAAGTAGTTTATAAAACTGTCATTAGAATAGGAGTTTTGACATGGTCCATATTAATAAGTTCTCGGGATACGTTTTAGGAAGAGACTTATCGTACTGGGGATATGAATTCAGTTGAAGAAAGGAATTTACATGCAGCTTTGCTAAACTTAATGCTTAAATTATTTAACTGTATGTAGCCGATGTTCAGGATTTTTTACATGATTACTGTAGACCATTGTTAAGTAGTGCAGTTTACTACTTAGAACAGGGTTTTGTATGGCGCAGTAATAAAGAGACCACTGTAAAGTAACAGCAAAGTAACAGCTACTGAGAACGATACTTGCACTAAACTCAGTATATAGACTACTGTTAAACACCAGTTTTTAGATTACTTACTATATAACTGCAGTATAGTACTGAGAGGAATGTTTGTACTGAGCTAAGTAGATAGACTTCTGTACATTGTTCAGCTGAGTATATTAATCAAAGTAGTTAAATGTTTCGCTTAAGATTTAAAAATCTTCTTCTTTACGGCATGTAAAGATATCCTTTTGAAAGACATACTATATATATTGTTTTTTGCAACATAATTCTATTACAATTCTACATTTAAACAGAATTCTATCTAGATAAGATATGACTTAAAATAGAAATGGAAAATTTAAAAAACTCATACTTTCCTTATTGCTTTTTATAACCTTAACCCCTCTGTAGCCTTTGTACAAATTCCTTTTATATCCTATAATTTAATAGAAATACCACAAGAGCAAAACACATTACTTTTGATAATTGATTACCATTGTGCAGAAATATCTTTGCCATTTATTTAAGAGCAGCAGGGGCAAGAAAAGAAATTATAAATATAAATAATTTTTACTTTTATTTATTATTGTTATTTTTTGTTTTGCTTTTTGTAAAGTACACTTGATATAACTCAGCACTTTAACCCACTGTGAGCTCTCCCAACAATAATAAATCACATTTGGCATTGAAATAAAGTATTTCTTCTCTATGCTTGTAGACTTTTATATACACAAATGTACTTTTTTCTAGGAGAAGTGTACGACTATATCTACACATAATTCTATATACTTATATATGTTAGTAAATTTGTAACTGTATTGGCAAGAATGTACTGTAAGAACTAATAAATTTACACTTGTTGATTGTAATTTATTATTTTCGTGTCATAAAATATTTATGCCGACTTTCTTTATTGTCAGTGACAAATTCTACACCGAACTTTTTATTTGAATTTGAGAATTACATTTTATTTTCAAATTAATTTTTTTATTTTTTTTTTTTGGAACAAAAATGATTTTATTAATGAATTTCTCCTTCTCCATTAAATGAAATCTATAAAAAATATTTTGTTAAAGTAATTTATCTTGAACTCGTGCTCGGTATTTGCATTTATTGCCAATAAACAAATTTTGTATCAAACCGGAAAATATTTGTGTGGGAGATATTTTGCTTTAACACTATTTCACTTCACTCTCTATTATTGTTTGCTTTGGGATATTTGGAAATTGTTGCATACCGTGGGATGATTATTGTTAATATTATGTTTAAAAGAAAAAAAGTTCACTGTCACATGATCTATAGTTATCGATTGAAATAATAAATATAAAATAATTTATAAACAACTTTTTGTTTTAAACAAGTTTTGCTCTCTGTGTGGTAACACATGACGTATGAGTGACTTTTTGGTATAAACATTTAGTGCTGCCTACCTGACTATCTTCGAGCAGTTTGAGCATACTGGAATTGGACGTTTTAATAATAAAAAATATTCCACATAACTTCTTTTGAAGTATACTAAAGCGTTAATAAGGTTAAAATGACTTATTTTAATATAAATTTTTTTAATATTGCGTATGGTATATATGCACATTAGCCAACCTCTTAGTAAAAAGGTGATTACAAAATTCTTTACAAAGATATTGAATGGTTTCTTTGTGTATATAAATTTCAATAAATGATATAAATTTTTCAGTGTTTCTATCTGCGTGCTTAAAAGTTAGTTATAATATGATATTTACAACACAACTGCTGTGTGCAGTTGTTTAAAATAAAATTTAAATAATTTCTTTCAACCTCTTTAGTGCTGAGTAAAGGCAAAGGGCATGCACTTAAACTAAAGTATAACACTTAATCCACTACATCTGATAACATATAACGTAACTTGTAGTTATACTTATATACATTAAGACCGAAAAGTTTTCGGAAATTCTCATTTAAAATTCGCGCGCTGTATATTTTTCGATATTTTAAGTTTATGTAGTTTGGCAGCACTGTCCTTAATTACTATGCCAAAAATGAGCGCGATCTGTCAGACAGTTCGTTTACGGCAGCTGTTGAAACCAGTTCACCTCAGTAGGGCGTTGCGAAAAAAACAATGGAAAAAAATATTGAACAAAGAGTTTGCATCAAATTTTGTGTTTCGAACGAAATTTCGTGTGCAGAATCGTTGCGAATGCTACAAAAGGCTTATGGGGAATCAGTTTTATCGAAAACTCAAGTTTATGAGTGGTACAAAGCCTTCCAGGACGGTCGTACGACCGTCGAAGACATTTCGCAACGCACTACTGAGGTGAACTGGTTTCAACAGCTGCCGTAAACGAACTGTCTGACAGATCGAGCTCATTTTTGGCATAGTAATTAAGGACAGTGCTGCCAAACTACATAAACTTAAAATATCGAAAAATATACAGCGCGCGAATTTTAAATGAGAATTTCCGAAAACCTTTCGGTCACAATGTATATACAATATTAATATATATAATATGTTTGCATTCAGTTAATATCCTCATGCATATATATTTCCTGTCGTGACATGCAATCACAAAGGCCACTTTGCATACAGATTAGTCTTTAATTGTTCTAAAGCAAAATGCATGCTGCAATTGCGTAAAAGGTAAGAAATTTAATTATGTATATGTAGCCGTGCACTCAAAGAAATATTAATAAATGTGTTGTATGCATATATCTTGAACGTGCTGTAGAAGAATTCAAAAATATTTATAATTGGTTGAGGATTTCTATACTGTTAGGTTAAAATGAGAGGGCGTTAGTGTATGCAAACATCAATAATTATAGTACATTCGGAAACATCTTTTTTTACCTATTACCTTATAATAATTATAATAGTTATCTATAATACTATCAAAAGTATTAATAATTAGTTAAGCATTTTTTGTTGATAAGTTGGTTTAAGAGGACGTTTGGTATACCAACATCAAAGCTTATATTTGAAAACATTACCAGGAAGCGCCGCCAAGCTCCCAGAAAATTAAAGGTAGAAGAACAAGAAATAGAATGGGCCGATACTCTCAAATACCTAGGCATAACCTTTGATAACAAGCACTCCTGGAAAGCACATTTCAAGTCCAAACGAGCGCAAGCTGCCCGAAGATTACACTCCCTTCACCCGCTCATCAGCAGCAAAAAGCTCAACATAAAGAATAGAGTTAGCATATTTAAGCAAATTATTAAACCAGGACTACTCTATGGCAGTATAGCGTTTTGCCAAGCGCCAAGCTCAACTTTAAAAATTCTTCAAAGAGGGCAAAATATTGCCTTAAGAAAACTGGTTAACGCCCCATGGTATGCAAGAGGAGCCGATATCCACAGAGATCTGAGAGTGGATTCAGTTAAAAAATACATTAAAGAACGTGCTCTAAAACTGTTCAATACAATTGACAGTCACAATAATCCAACTCTCAGTATCCTAAAAATACAGCGAAATTTGATAAACACAGGCAGATACAAAGACATCAGATCCATTATATTATAAAGCCCCGTAAAGCCCCGTATTTAGTGTGACTTAAAACTGTCGACAGATAAAATAGAGTAAAGGTGCTGATTCACCAACTCAGACATCTGAATATCAATATATATAT